CTACAAAAAAAGCCCTGATGAGATTTATGGCCTGTCTTGTGAGTAGGGTTGCCAGGTCTGAGTTGGAAAATACCTGGAGACTTTGGGGGTGGATCTGGGAGAGGGTGGGGCTTAGGGAGGGGAGGGGCTTCGGCATGGTACAGTGCCATATTGTCCACCATTCAAAGCTGCCATCTTCTCCAGGGGAGCTGATCTCTGTCAGCTGGAGATCAGTTGCAAAAACGGGAGCTCTCCAGACCCCACCTGGAGGCTGGCAACCCTACTTGTGAGATTCTGAATCTCATTATTACTCATCTAACTTTAGGGCATGATCCAGTTCCATGCTCAGTGCGCACAGCTCTCTGATCATGGAGAAGGATTAAAAGGAGGGGGAAGGTAACGGTAAAGGACTGGATTGTTTGCTCTTACATGTATTTTTGCACAATATTGTCACAGAAATCTTTCTTACAATGAACTTCTATGGGTTGCTGATGAAATGTTCAGGGGATACTGAATCTCCAGGCAAATGCTCCAAAACTGCAGGTTCAATCTCTAGAGCTCTCTTTGACACACTCTTATCCATTGCAATGCTAGGGATATGATAACAAAATACAGTCTGGGTTAGTGTGTTTGCAGACATTTCAGTGCAACGCAGTGGATTCATACATACTTGCCATGAAGTAAAATGGCCATCTGACCATCAAATATTTTATTCATAGCTAGGCTTCATTCATATAGTGCACAGACTTCAGTGGAAGGAAAACGCCTGTGGCAAGGCTAGACTTTACACCGCCATACCAAAATTTAAGCTACCGACCAACCCTAGCACCTGAGTTCGTGATTTTTTTGGGGGGGGCATCCACAGACCCAGCAAATATCATTTTCAGGTCAGCTAGGAAGACTCCAGTCTAAGAGCAGAATAATTAGGTTACATTTTTTATGACTTCCACAGTCACACAGCAGCTGCAAGGAAAGACATTTTTAAACTATGCCAGTATCATCACTTCTGTATTATAGACAGAAGTTCAAGAGGCAATAATTTGGCTAGATTTACTTTGTGAGATTAAGGGTCAGATTCCCAAGATCTATTCTCATGTTTACACCAGCTACTTCCATTACAATTTCTGCCTTTGCCCAGGACTGACTCTGCACCCAAGCCTCACAAACCATCTTTCCTATGTTCCCTTATTTTGCAAATTACTAAAAAGACGTAGATGAAGAATTATAAACATAAGGAAAAGCTCAGCATAAATGCTAACCAGTAATATATGTTTAAATAGAATAAAAAATATAGAGCGGTTTAATACAGATAAATGATGTAGAAATTACCATGTTATGCCTCTAACCTGGGGCACTAATGCAGTAAAGCAGTTTCACACACCCAATGGGACTTGGGGTCTACCAAGGTCAGCATTTTCCACTCAGACTGGCAGCGGCTCTCCAGGGGCTCAGGCAGAGCTCTTTCACATCACCTGGTCCTTTCAACTGGAGACGCTGGGGACTGAACCTGGGGCCTTTTCTATGCACACTGGATGCTCTAGCTCTGAGCCTTCTCCCTAGCCCAACTCTGGATCTCCTATGCACAAGGCCACTCTCCAGCTTTAGCTCATATAGGTATAGGCTGGAGTTTTTTATTCACATGTTTGTTCAGCTGCAGCAACAGCTCACAGTAAGAGAACTTCTAGAAAGGAATGAATTTACCTGTATCTGGAGTGTAGTGGAACATATATCGGCTCCTGGGTTCTGATGTTTGAACATCTTCTCTTGAGCTGTGCTGGTGGGTAGCTGTTGATTTCATCTGTCAAAACAGAAAATACATGGATGGCAGACAGAAACCCAGTGGAGGGGTACTGTTGCTACCCTGTCCCCATTTTGTTCTGATCCCTATCTTGGGGCCTGAGATTTTAATTTATGAGGGTTCCCCCCCCCCCATCATAGCAAGTAAACAAGCTTCTGAGCATCACAGACCAAATGGCAGAGATTGAAGAAGGACCACAACTGATTTATTGGCCTATCTGGGAGATAACAGGCAGCCTCTAGAAGATCCTGGAAAAGGAAAAAACCTCACCGAGAAATGGCAATTATGAGAAATGATCAAGGATCCCTTTCTTGAATTATCCCGGTTTTATCTTATTTTGGAGCACTTCTTCCGGGACGTGTAGCTGGACTCCTCCACTGGTCTTTTTGGTCCCCAAGCTGCCACCTCTTTTGCCCTCCAAATGGGAACCTAACCTTTCCCCAATGGGCACTTTTTGCATGCTTCTAAACAACCTGTGTTTTGTAAGCTGTGGAGTTCCATGGTTTGGCTCCTTCCCCTCTGGATTACTTGCTACTTAGATCCCATTAGACCTCAAGAGCAGCAGCTATCACCCTCTCTTTCATTTCACCTGCTCTCCCACCTTACCTAAGTGGAGATGCTTGCCATATTAATGGCTAGGTAATAGATGCCTGGGCATAGTTTGATTGATTAGACTGGCTAATTTTCTCACCATGAGAACACATTATTCCCTTTAATCAAGTTCATTTCTGATTTTATCCTTTCTGTATTCCTTTCATACTTGTATTGAGGCCACTCCCACACCCATAGGTGTCATGAACTCTGCAAGTCCTGTTTGGCCTGAAAATCATGTTTCAATCAATCATGCATTTCAAAACAATCTGCACTAATGCCTGTTCAACATAGACCAAAAATCTAAAAACCAGCTGCAGTTTAATGTCAGCTTATGTTTCCCCCAGTATTCAATTACATATAAATGTATTATGATGAAGACATCATTTTTCTTTGTAGAAATTAACATAGGCTCCCCCCTCCAGATTTTCCACGTGCCTCACAAAAGAGTAAAACAAATAGCTGCATCATCCTCTTGTTGTTTAATTGCATCATCCTCTTATTTTTTCCTATATTATATACATCAGATATGCAAAAAGTAATAATAATAATTATTATTATCATTTGGCGTTGTGTGTGGTATAGTCAGGAGACCTGAAGATTGTCTGGCTGCCTGAAGTACTAGCTCATTTTTGCAGTACTAGGTGGCAAGCTAGACTTATTTGGGGGCCTGATAGAGCTGTGGCTAACCCAAAGTCACCCAGCTGGCTTCATGTGGAAGAGTGCGGAATCAAACCTGGTTCTCCAGATTAGAGTCCCCCACTCTTTAACCACTACGCCATGCTGACTCTTACTGCAAAGGTTGAAAAAGCATCCCTGAGTATCTTCCAAGCTCTCTACAAAACAGGACAAACTTAGCTTTGGTATAACTTACTCCGGAGAAGATGTAGAAATGGCTTCAGAAACTTCACTGCATATCCAAGTTCAGCCTTGTGGCATCTCCCAAGCTGTATGAGATGATACTCCATGGGCCTGCTTGCCAGTTCACCAAGTTCTACATGGTCGTATTCATGCCCCAATGAGAGCACAAACAGAGCATAGCCGTGGCACTTGGCTCTCAGGGCTACATCTTTCAACACTTCCTTGTCCCATTGACTTGTTTCCCCAACAGATATTACAAAGATAGCTTTGTGTTTCCTCTGGTTGGGTGCTTCTGTGAAGACATTGGTGATGGTCCACTGTATGGCGTGGCCAAGAGCAGTTGTTCCATTCAGCTGCCAGACAGACTCTTGGATATGCCTCTTCATCCGCTCCTTACTATCATAGGTCACCAAGTCAAACTCGGTCTTAACTGGGCTCTTTTGTGTTTGAGGCCTGAAATCTGGTGGAGCATGGCTCAACACAGCCACCCTGTCGCCTATCAAAGTGCTTCCTGGCTGAGCAGAAACATCAAAGTTGTCAAGGGACTGGCTTAGGAAATCTTTCAGCTTCACAAATTCAAGAGGGCTTACTTTCCTTGAACTTTCCAAAACAAAAGCAGCATCTACATAAGCTGGAGTCAAGGGGGTTTGGTCACGTAGGCAAGATGCATCCGGCCTGCATTTGTCTGCAGAAGGACATAAAATTATTTTAACACCACAATGTAAAGAAAGAGAAGCCATGACAGGGGGCGGGCCGGTTCTCATGTTCTTTTTTCACATGCTCTTACCATAGCAAAGTATGCACAGCTGGAATCTTTGTAAAGCTGGTATATAATCTCTCTCCTGGTGAATATTGATAACCTGAAACAGTCTTGAGTCATCCATCTGAAATTATAAAAGATGGGGTGGGGGGGGGAAGAGCTTTTAATTAAGTGAGTGGATAGTAAAATATCTTACGTGTATAGCTGGTGAATCCACTGAGGCTTCCCCCCCTTTTCTAAGAGGGACTGATGCTTTACTTCTGCACTTTGTATTCATAACTTCCTGGATGGCTATAAAAAGCAGCTTTGCCCGCAAGTCCAATAAAAGAAGAAGTTTAAAGGATAATCTACGCTAATGCCATCATAACAATGATATAGTGGTTGGAGAACTGAATAGGATTTGAGCCTTGGTCCCTCCAGATCTATGCTGCTCTGAAGACTGCTGATGATGACAATGGGCTGGTCGCACCAGTTCCCTCTCACTTTTCAAACCTACATCACAGGGTTGTTACGAGGATGCGATGGGAAAAGGAGATCAATGCGCATCACCCTAAGCTTCCTGGAGGGAGGCATGAGAAAAATGTACTAGACAGATAGACAATTCTTCCGTTTAAAACATTTTATTTTCAGGATATTGCAACATGTCCAAAATTATAACTTCACATTTGTCAAATTCCCTTTTCTTTTTCCCCTCCCTCCCATTCCCAGGCTTCCCGCAATGCTCCCACCCCCTCCATAATATTAATTCTTATTTTCCATCTTATTCCCCTTATTACTTAATCAATTAACTTCTATTAACTTATACTTATAATCTAATTCTTAGGTAACCTTTTACTTATCTATTCAGTTAGGTCATTTTGTATTTTCTGTTCTTAATAACTATCAAAGCAGAGTAAATTATTCTTTACATCCCAGTGTTTTTCTATATACTCTTTAAAATCCGTCCATTCTTCAAAAAATTCTCAGATAGACAATTCTTGACCTTCTCACTGACACACGTGTAGGAATTTCTAATTGAGGAAAATCCTTACAGAAGTGGGTTGATTGGTTTTAGTTTAGTTTAGTAAAGCAACTTAATTAAAAAGCAAGCCTTAAAGTCATGGCTCATGGGAACAATGAGTGGGCATAATGGGGGAAATCCAGCTTTTCCCAGGCTTTGTCATGTTCCCCGTATTCCCAAATCCAATTTGGTGTTGAATTAAAGAACCTATTTTGTTTCACTAATGAATCTGCAATGTAACTTCAATAACATTTAGAAGTTTATCAGTGCCATCCTAAACAGAACTGTACCCTTCTAAGCACATTGACTTCAAAGGATTTAGAGGGCCGTAACTCTACTTGAACTTACTTGAGCTGCGGTGGCTCAAGTGGTTAAGACGCTGAACTTTAGGCTGTGGAAGGCGGGTAGTTCAGCAGTTCAAGACCCGAGTGTACCGCATGACGGAGGGAGCTCCCGTCTCTAGTTCCAGCTCCTGCCAACCTAGCAGTTCGAAAGCAAGAAATTGCAAGTAGATAAATAGGTACCACTTCAGTGGGAAGGTAATAGCATTCCGTGCATCTTGGTGTTTAGTCATGCCGGCCACATGACCACGGAAACGTCTTCGGACAGCGCTGGCTCTTCGGCTTTGAAATGGAGATGAGCACTGCAACCCTAGAGTCGGACTCGACTGGCTTTCGAGCAAGGGAACCTTTACCTTTACTTTACCTTACACATCTATGATTCCTGACTGGCTAGGATCACTGAAGGGAAATGTGATAAAGAAATGTATAAAGAAATGTGTCCAAAAAAAGACACTGAACTGGAAAACAATAGGTCCAAAATAATTTCAAACAAACTTTTAAAGGGTGGGGGGATTAAAAGGCTTGGGTTTCTCTTTCTTCCCCTCTTTCTTTTCAAGGTTCAAAAAAGAAATTGGGAGAACATCTGAATCAGTCCTAGTAATGGGTATGATTGTACTCAGGAGCACCACACGTCCGGCTTTCCTTTAAAGCAATCAAATCATGGGCAAAGAAGGAAATCTTAAATTCCGGACTGGGCTCCAGACTCACGATGCGATTAATTTAACATCAAACACAACCCCACACTGAAGACCCTTTGATCCCGCATGCGTCAGCTACGGGTGCTTCCACAGTCCTGCCTTGTGCAAGTTCCCAGACCCATGGCCCCCGTATATTTCATTGATGATTCTCCTGTCTTGAGCATTCCGTGTCCATGTCACAGTACTTTGGGACACATTTTTAAAACAAATACACATTTAGGGCACAGCCCAGGCAAAAGGGAACACCTTGATTTGGGACAGATTTAAGCACATGGTTAACTTTTCCATTAAAATCATAGGACTTAAAAGTGGTGCGTAACACAGGCTAGACCATACCTATAACACTTTAAGTTATAATTATAACTAGCTAAATTAAAAAAAATTAATTATCGTATGGCATTGTGTGTGGAATAGCCAGGAGATCCTGAAGGCTTGATTGGCTGCCTGAAGCCAGGACCTGGACCCACTCGGGTCCTGTTTGTGGAGCTGCAGGGAAGGGTGAGAGTAGGGAGCAGTCATGGATCCCCCTCCCCTCCTTTGCCAGGCAGAGGAGGCAAGTCTGAGAAGCTGGAGCCTGCCTGATGCGGCACTGACCCTATGAGCTCTCTTGGAGGGGACTCGGGGGGCAGGGGCGCCTGATGGCTATTTAGGGCACCACGCCCACCTCGGTTCGCCATCTTTAGCTGCGTGTGGAATAGCCAGGAGATTCCAAAGGCTTGATTGGCTGCCTGAAGCTGTAGCTCTTTTTTTGGAACCACTAGGTGGTGAGCTTATTTTTAGGCTGAGAGAGCTGTGACATGCCCAAGGTCACCCAGCTGTTTTCCAGTGGGGAAGTTCCGCTCTTAACCACTATACCAAGTGCCTCCATATAACTAGCTAATCTTGGTACTGTGGATATAATATAACCTGTGGAGCAGTGCCCAAAAAGCCATGCTGGGGAGATGGAAATGATGCAATAGACTATTTTTCTTTTGCCTGTCTGCCAGGAGAGAGGCTGCTGCCATCATGGGCAGATCCACTACCCCTCATTTTGCTTCCTCCCTCCACCTACAGAGTAGTCTGTTGAGGGCAAGTAGACTGGTGGTTGTGTAACCTGGCCTTACATATTTGTAGAATCCACAGTTATCTGTTTGTTGTTTTTGACAATGGCAACTTGGAGTCCAAGCTGGGCAGTCAAAAGTGTGCTATAAAGACCCAAATAAAATACAACAAAGCAAAATGAAACATGGCAGAGAGTTTCATTTTGAATTTGTAACCATCAGCTATTAATGAGTGAAAAGGCAACCAAATAGGAGGAATGTCCATGGGGAAAAGACCCTAAAGATGGGCTGTTGCTGAATGTGTGTGCAAACATCACCAAAACCTAAACATTTTGCAAACAGTATATTAGTAGCCTTTGCCTAACAGACAGCTGCTTGTGGAGGTGCAGAAACCTCTCTGTGCTTCATTAGACAAAGTCAGAGACTGTACAGCCCCTTTTCTTCTAAGACACAGGGATTTCTTCAAGGTTATCCAGAGCCTTCAGAATCCCCACTGAAGTTTTTTGTGTGGCTCTGTCTGGGCTGTCAGTGATGTTCCAGTTTAACAAAAAACAGACACCATTATGAAACTGTTGAAATTGATACGGCAATATGATAAATTTATGAGCTTGGAAACAGCTCTCAGAAAAAAAGTGATGTTTGTTTCCAAATGTCCACTGAGAAAATGTGTGATTATTGTGCTGATTCCAAACTGAGATACAGTGAAAGCATGTGCATTTGGCTTGTATACGATTATCTCTGTTCGTAAGAAAGCGCCAATGCACCTTCGATTTATGAATGAAACCAGGAGCCAGTACCTAGATAAATGTGTGTGGGAGGGCACACAGCTGTACGTAGGGTTGCCAAGCTCCAGGTGGGGGCTGGAGATCTCCCGGATTTATAACTGATCTCCAGACTACATATCTTGCTCATAATATGTTTGTTTGAGAGTGGATTAAAACAGAAGGATCCAGATTCAAAATACAGTTACCATTCAACCCAAGACTAGACTGTGCTGGAATAATAGCATCTTGACCTGTCATCTGAATATAAGCAAAGAGGGAACTAAACAAATCTCCTGTGTTGGGGAGTTCCAGAGGCCAGGCACCAAACTGCAAAGAAACCAACCACGCCTCAAATGTCAGTGGGCCACAGAGCAGCACTTCTACTACTGACTTGAGCATGCGGGTTGGTTCAGAGGGGAACAGGTGCTCCAGATGCCCAGGGCCCAAACTACTTGGGGGTTAAGAGGTCAACAGTGCAACCCTGAGGAGAGTTATACCCTTCTCAACCTGCTGACCTCTGTATTCTTTGAGGGGTGTAACACTGCTTAAGATTGCACTGTGATACCAGTACTATGAGTAACAGACTACGTTTTGAAAACCTTTCAGTTGAGATGGGGTATTCCAGATACCTGCTACCATAGGCTATCTGGTTTCCTATACACTGGGAGTTAGTAGCCTTGTTCAAAACTTACAGTGAGCACACATGTAATCCATAGACAGTGTATACTTGATTACTGAGTAATTCTCATGCTGCAGTCAATGCATATACAACTAGCATTGCCATCTCTGGTTTTGGAAATACCTGGAGATTTGAGAGTTAGGGTTCCCAGTCCCCAGGTCCAGACGATGGATCCTCCGCTTTCCAGCACTCCTACCTGCCACTGGCCAGCTGACCGGTGGGAAAACCCTGCCCTCAAACAGCCACGCTGCACGGAATGTCCCCAATGCGATGACTTCACATGGAAGTGAAGCCATCACGTTGGGGACATGGTGCAGTGACAGTCTGGCTTTTGGGAAAAACTCTGTGGTTTGAGAGTGATTTAATCATAGAGTTTTGCCCTCAAACCAGAGCATCGCCACGTGACATCTCCAACATGATGAGGTCACTTCCCTGTGATGTCATCATGTCGGGGATGTCGCATGATGTCCCCCCCCCCTCCAGGAATGC